GAAGGAGCGGGGGAAGAAGGATAACGAGAAGCAGTGGTCAAGGGGATAAGGAAAAGTAGAGGTCAGAAGGGGCGGGTCACGACCTCATATCTCCCCCCCCTCGCCCTCCCATCCTCCGCCCTCTGCCTCCCATCCCCCGCGTCTCCCCCGTTGCTCCCGTCGCCCTCGCACCCCTGGAATTCGCGCCGCCCCCCCCCCCCCCCCCCCCCTCCGTCTCACCCTCGCCCCCCCTCGCCCCCTCACCCCCCCCCCCCCCGCCGCCCTCGTCATCCCCCGCTCTCCTTCTCGAGATCCCCTCCACCTCCTTCTTCGCATGTTTTCTCATCATTCTCGCCGCCGCCCCCCATCGTCGCACCCCCCTCTCTCCGTCTCCCCCCATCTTGCTTTCCACCGAGTGGGGGCCCTCGGAGGCGCCAACCGCGCCGCGCTCGCGAAGCCGTCGAGGCGGCGGCCTCCGCTTTCGGCGCGGCGCCAGCCGAGGCCGCAACCGCCGACGCGAGGACCTCGCTCACGCCCTCGAAGCTCTCGAGCTTGGTCACCGGTGGCTTCGGCCTGCGGCGGCGGCCCACCTCTGCCCCCGTTGCGTCCTTGAGCGCGATGATCACGACGGCCTCCTGCGCCGCCCTCTCCGCGATCTCGATCGCGCCGGCCACCGTCTTGCTGTCATCATCCGGCACCTTTGTCTTGAACGTGTTCAAGATGGTCTCGTAGTGCTGGAAATTGCTCTTCGCGACCTCGCAGCGCTTCTCGGGCTCGTCGCCGTCGAACTCCAACAGCGTGGCCTCTGCGCGTTTGATGAGCGCCGCTCTCGCTGCGTCCTTGAAGTCGCCGGACCGCGAGTTGCCGTTCCCTGCGCCTTTGTAGATGCTCCCCAAGCTGGCCAGCGCGGCCATCACGTGCTGGTGCGCTGCAGCGATCACGCGTTGCTGGTCATCTGGCAAGGCGGCCTGCATCCCGAGGGCTTCGCTGACCAATAATTGTCTCATATTTGGCCGCTTCCGCGGAAAGCTCATCGATGCGACCCAGGGCCTGGCAGGCCGCCCCGAAGGACTTGCAATCGGCGTCCTGCTGGATCCTCTCCTCCTTTGTGCTGCCTGGCTGGAAAAATCCCCCACCGCCTCGTTAAGACCGTCGGCCCACTCCTTCACGAGTCTAGCTTCGCCCGCCGCGTCGCTGCCGAAACCCCGAAGACGTCGGACAGACGACGCGCGAGGCCGACGCTCTTGAGCTGGAGGACGGCCCTCGGCCTAAGGGCCATGGCGGTTTTCATGCAATGGACCACGGTCGTTCGCATCATGACCTTCCTCTCTTCGTCTAGCAGCTCGGGTGAGTCGGGCCGTCGCCGCGTGCGCTGTTTTGCAGGAGGGCGTTGCAAGCCTCCTCGATCGCGTCGATGTTTTCATCTTGCAGCGTATATCCCGACATCTCTGCTTCTATGACTGCAAGCCGGTTCTTCATTCCGTTGGAATTGTCAGTGCGCTCGGCGGCGCCCATGAGGTCTGTCCACATTGCCGCCCACGTACTCGACGATTTCGGTAAAGCCAGCTGGGCAACACTGACCACCTTCGACCACTGCTGCAATTCATCACTGGTCGCGCCAGCATGGCCCGTAGTAGGCCACCAAATATTGTGCATGTTCTTGACGTTCTCATCGACTATATCGGGGAAGCCATTGATCAACCATTCTGGCACTTGGTGCAAGATCTCGCTCAACAGCGTTACTTCGTCGGAAGTTGGCTGCACTGTGGCCATAACAAAATCGTCATTGAGCTCTGCTTCCCTGTGCGCAAACTTCTCCACCGCCTTCATGTTCGGCACGCGCGTCTCGATCGCATCCTCGTGCTTCGCGATCTCTGTCAGCCGCTTGCCCCAGAACGGCGATTTCTGCGCAGCCTTAACAAAGCCACCTATGTTACTGCCTTCGTTTTAACCTTGGTGGAGTTCAGTTCGACGACGCTGTCGAGGCAGTCAACGCCACCTGCTCCCATCATCTGAAAACACTTGTGCACGAACTCCAATTCCGATGCCACAGCGTCCAACTCCTCTGGCAGATTGTCGAGGTCAGCAGAAAAGGCATTCTGCATTTCCCCCGAGAGCTCGAGAATGTCCCCGCACTTGTCGGCACCGCCGCCATCGATGAGGTTCCCGATGGCAAAGTAGAAATCGGACAACCGCTTGGCAGACTTGTCGAGGTTGGATCCATCCAAGCCCCGGATGGGGCAGATCTCTGGATTAAACGTCAAGTTGTCCTCTGGCGCGCTCAGCGCGGCAGCCCGCTCGGTGATGTCGAGCTTGTCGCGCGTCATGATATCCCGGACCTTCCTGTCGTGGAGCTCCCCCTCGAACCCAGACGGGAAGACGAGGTCGCCGTCGTGCGTGGCCGTTGTCCTCCAGGCGACCTCTGGCCACGGCGACGTCCTGAGGCTGTTCTCGCTGAGCCGAGCTGCTACCTGGGCTAGCTCGATGCGCCCCTTCAATTCATCGAACTCAGCCTTGAGCCCTGTCGAGGGAATAGACTTCGCCGCCTCGCTGGCGAAACGGATCTGCGCGCCGCGCGACTATTTGGTGGCTGGCGTCTGCTCGATCGGAAGGGAAACCTTCTTCCTCCCACAAGCTCCCGGGGCAACTCGCCCCTCGGGGCGACGGGCCTCGAGCCGCCGGCGCGCGCCCCGACGGCGCTGCGAGCTCCAAAAGGCGCCCCGCCGCGACTGGGGCGAGGGCCAGCTCGTAGACCACTCGGCGCTCCGCTCCTCGCATCTGGCGACCGCCGGGGCGCGGGGGAGCGCGCGCCCTCTTACTACTCTTCTTCTTCGATCTCCTCGATCGAGATGCCCTCGACTTCGCCGGCGCCCCGTTCGGGCTCAGGTCGCGCTGCTTCTGGCGGGGCGGCGGGGGCAACGGTGCCGAGGACTGGGCGATCAGGAGCGCGGGCGCCCATCCCCACCAACTTCGCAAGGATCGACCGATGCGTCACCTGGCAGTTCCGCATTGCTGTCACAAGCTTGTCCTTCTCAGATCATCAATCTTGAATGCGGTGATCTCATCGGCCTGCCTCGCGAACATCTGACGCCCGCCATCCAGCTCGAGTTTGCGCGAGCCCGCGCTGCGCGTCGACCTGACGGCGCATTTCACCCCTGGAGCCATCGGGGTCTTCATGAGCACGCCCGCGAACATGGGTCCATTTAGTTTCGGCAGGCCCCATCGGCTTGAAGTTGCACTCTTCCGGCAGTTTTTGTTTTCCCCCCCCCCCCCGAGGTGCGTTTTGCATTCTTGCTTGCTCAGGCTGACGAGAGACTGCTCTATGTCGATGGAGGTGCAATTCGAAACAAACGCGTCGGTCGGCGCGAAGTCCTCGGCGCCGCCTGCAATCGCCGATTCCGCGCGAGCCCCGCGCCTCCGACCTCAAACCCGCCGTCGTTCTTCATCTGGGACGCCTGCTCAAAAGTTCCAGGGCGCGTGACAGCATCCGTGAATACTCGATCGCTCTTAGAGCACGCGGGGTCGGCAACTTGGCCCCCGTGCCCTTTGCGGCGCGCGCGTCGGCCCAGGTGGTTCCAGTCGCATTGCTCTTCGCGCCGCAAGCGCAGCGCGTCGGCGTCGAAAGAACCATCTGCCGCTTTTGCGCTCACTGGCGGAGCCGTCCACGCTCGGCGCTACGGAGCCCCCCTTTTGTTTGGTTTCTCTGTCTCTGTCTCTGTCTCTGTCTCTGTCTCTCTCTCTCTCTCTCTCTCTCTCTCTCTCTCTCTCTCTCTCTCTCTCTCTCTCTCTCTCTCTCTCTCTCTCTTCTCTCTCTCTTAGACACGCGCGGCGAACAGGCTGAGTCCGCGAACGAATCCGACAAGGACTCCAGATGGCGCGACCAGCCCCGCCACCCAGCTTCCCGGGCCCGGTAGCAGGGCCGCCCAAGGCAGGAAGGGCAGGGCCGACCAGGGAACGCCCGGAAGGAAATGGCAGGACTGTCCAGAACAGGAAGGGCAGGGCCGTCCAGGACGGGAAGGGCAGGGCCGCCCAGGGCAGGGCCGTCCAGGACAGGGCGGGCAGGGCCGAACAATTAGGAAGGGCGCTCGGCGCCAACGGGCATGCAGTTCGAACGCTCAGCCCTCAGTGATCCAGGCCAACGGTCTGCGTGCACGTTGCCCCCGGGCCCCTGGGACAGGCGGGGGTTCGCCGAAGGCGGCTTGGGCGATATGCGGAAATCGACGGCCTATGGAAGGTCGCGCCAACCCAATAACATCTGAAGGTGGAAATCACCGGGGCCAGGTGGCGGCCGATCAGAGGGCCTGCGACGCGAGGTGCACAAAAGATGGGCGAGGACGCAACCTGCAAGGGTAGCGACAACCCCTGCGGCTCTCGCCCCCCCCCCCCTCGCTCGGCTGACCATGGCCCGCGATAGGGTCCTAGGAGCCTGATGAGGTCCTACCTGGGGTGCTGCCAATGACCTGCTCGGGCCCCGCCAGGGCCCTGCTGGGGACCTACTACTCGCGCCCCCCCCCCCACCCCCACCCCCACCCCACCCCCACCCCCGCCCCCACCCCCACCCCCACCCCGTTCCCCCACCCCCCGCCCCGCTGCTCGCGCGCCCCCCCCCCCCCCCCCCCCTCCCCCCCCGGCAGCGCGCCGCGACGCTGGGCGCCGCAGCCCTGGAAGCGAGGCGAGGAGGAAGAGGAAGAGGGGGGGGAGTAGGAGAAAGAGGAGGAGGAGGGAGAAGGAGCAGGGGGGAGGAGGAGGGGGAGGAAGCGAGAGGAGAAGGGAGGAGGAGGGAGGAGGGAGGAGGAGGAGGCGGGCTCGGCGGAGGAGGAGGAGGAGGAGGGAGGGAGGCGGTGGAGGAGGGGGGGGGGGAGGATGAAACACCATCGCACACGCACGGATAATCTTACAAACGCACTATTTCGCTGAAGTTTAACCCTGTGCGATGCTCAAGGAGAAGGCGGGAACGTTCCTCTTGCCAATGCCAACTCCGCAAGGCACACATGCCCCTGCATCAACACGAACGAACAGTGGATACCCTGCACCGCGACAGCTGGCGATTACGCGCAGAGGAGCCCAACGCTTAAACTCCGCCGCCTGTCCAGTAGACAGGCCAAGGCGCGATGCCTGCTCGCGTTGCTTAGATCATTTGGGCGTCTCTAATTAGTAGGATTCGCGAACCACGGTTTCGGCGCGCCCCGCGAGGCGCGACGGGCGCGGGCGCAAGCGAACGCGGGCACGCGGCCATGACAAATACCGCGCGCCGCCGACGCGCGTCCGCATCAAAGCCCCAAGGCAACGCGCGCGCTGCAAACGACGAGCAAGCGCAGCATGGACTGCGTCGTCGCGTTGATGGCGACGCGCGGGCGCCGATGACATGCGGAGCGAAACTAACCCACGGCGTCTCGCGCGAGCGCCGCCGCGCGCGCCCACCACGCCCACTCGCGCCCCCCCGCGCCCGCCCCCCCCCGCCCCTCCCCGTCTCAGACCCCCGCCGCGCTCTGCCCTGCGAGACTCCATCGCCAGAGTGGCTCGCCAGAGGCGACGGCGCGCCCTTTGTTCGACCGTCGACGGCGCGCGCCAGGAGGCGCTGCCAGAGGCACACCGCCCAGAGACACCTGGGCAATATGGTCGATGCGGCAACTCCCTGGCGCGTGACCCGCGGCGCAGGAGCCCCCGCCCGCGCCGGGCCGCGCGCGGCCCGTTGGCCGGGCCGAACCACGACCCCGCTGCCACTTCGCAAGGGCGCAAAGGCCAGGCCCCAATGCCCCGCCCTTGCGGTCCGCATTCGCAAGGCTCACGCGAGAAAGCTGCGGGCAGCGCGCAGCGACCGCATCCGCGGGCACCTCATCGAGAGCCAACGAGCGCATTTCGACGCACGCGCTCGGCGGCGACAAGCTGCAGGCACAGCGCCGAGCGCCTATTGCAGGAAGCCCGAGGCTCGACGTCGGCGGCCATGGCGCCTCGACGCACGCGCGCGCGCGAGACGATCCCAGTGCCGAGCCCCTGGTTGATGGCAGGCGGCTTTGTCGACGCACTGCGCCCCTCGCGTTCTGCGTCCTGGGCGCGCCGCAGAAGGGCCAAATGGTCGAGCGGCGAATTGCCCCCGCGGTTGCGCGGTCGCGGTCTCGATCGCGAGGTGCCGCGGCCCAATCCACGTCAGGTCCGTTGCTCGGCGCATCGCGCCTCGCGCGCCTCGGACACGGCTCGGGGCCCGCAGATGAGCGGCGAGGGCGCCAGGCCAGACCTCGCGGGCGATGGCCCGAGGCTCCACCCCATCGCGCCAGGCCACAAACTGTGGCAAGAAACAACGCGCTCGCCGGGCAGCGCGCTCGGCCCTGCGCGCGAGGCCAGCAGCGTTCGCCATCGCCCTGGCGCCAGCGCCAGAGTCTGCGGACGCGGGCTCGCGGTTGAAAGCAAGGCGCTGCGAGCGCGGCTGAACCTTCAACGCTCGGCCTCGATGGCACTGCGCCCGCGGGCCACGACGCGCGCCCACCGGCTAGGCCGTTGGCCTTGTGGCCCATCACCACTGCCCCCGCCGAGCGATGGTCAATGGTCAAGGCGCAGACGTATCCAGCCACTGCTTGGAGAGCAGGCACCCCCACGCAAACCATCGCTCAAGGCTCGAACGGACGCGAAAAATGTTTCACAATCGTTACCGCGATCCGCGGCCGCGCGCCCTATGCAGAAGAATGGGGGATATGCCATCGGCGCCTTCAGCCGAGGCGCCCGCCGCCAAATCCAACTTGTCGCACCATGAGAGGAACGACATCCGTACACGATGGCGCTGCGCGCGCGTCAAGGCCAGGACGCTCGCGCGGATGTGACAGATTCTGGATCAGCACCAAGGGCACACCGCGCAGCTCGCGAACGCTCGGCCCGCGGCCCGCGGCCCGCGGCGCGCCGCGCAAGGCGCGCGGCGCGCCGGGCCGCCCAAGGTCGCGGACATGGCCCCTGGCATCCTGGGACCAGCTCGGCGGCCCCGAACTGCACACAGCCGTGGTGAAGAACGCCCGAAAGCAATCCACCTCCTCGGTCCACTCCAGGTCGGACTCATAGCCCCAAGCAAGCGAAGCCTTGTGCACCGTGGCGTCGAACAAGTGGGCCAAGCGTTCCACAAATACCCGGGGAACCTTCGCTGCGCCCTTCCGCTTCGCCGTCCTGTTGGCGGCGGCTGCGGGAAAGACGCGACCCCGCCCCGGGTGGATGACAGCGTCGGCCCGCCCCACAAAGTCCTTCAACGACTCCTCGCACGCATGCCCCGCCACAGAGCCCTGGATGTATTTGCGAGCGGCACCCGCCCAGCGATCCAGCAACGCGCGCAGATGCACGGCCAAAGCGCCCACGGCTTGCCATGAACCACCGGGGTAGTCGCGCCGCGCGTCGGCAGGTCGATCCGGGTTGTTGTGGCGCGCAATCATGTCGCGGTGGCAGTCTGACCCCAAATGGAAATCGGTGCTGTGCTTTGGTGCATACTTCTCGAAATGCCAGTTCAGGTGGTTCCCGTCCTTGCCGACCTGGAAACCGTCTGCA